GGGCGTCGGGAGGCTTTTTGGCAGAAAGGCTTCCGGGCGGCGAGCGGGGGGGGGATTGAGAAGGAGGAGGCCTTCCTAGAAGGCGGGGGGGGCTTCTCAGAAGCCTTCGTGCCTTCTGCGAAGTGTTCTGCGTCCTCGGGGAGGGCTCAGAAAACTTCGCAGAAGGCCAGAGGACTTCCGAGCCTTTGAGAAGGCCCGCCCGATCTCGCCTTCACCCCCGGGCTCGCCGCCGATGTCTGGCAGAAACACTTCAGACAGTTAGACGTTCCCAGAGTGCAACGGGCCAGGTCACTCGAGGGTTATGATGCTCCAACCTGCTTTCGTCTGGATCACCAGAAAGAGCTTCCAGCACCAAGAAGGTACCGAGACTTGAGGGCTTTCATTCTAGGCCGTCTCGATGGGGTCGGAGTAGATGGGGTCGGAGGATCGCGCCGCATCGCCGATGCATCGGCGATGCAGCTAGATGTGGAGCCCGATGTTCTCCACGCCGACGTCGCCGGTACATCGCCGATGTATCGGCGATGCGGCGCGATTCTCCGACCCCATGTACTCCGCGATCTTCTAGGAGGCCTCTAGTCACGCGTCGGGCCCTGGGAAGGCGATACTCGTTCGACACTGTGTAGGTACTTGTCTGCCCCTCTGGCCTCGCCTCCCTCCCCTCCCTGGTCCTCTTCCCCCCTACAGTGAGCGGCTAGAGTTAGGAACGCTTACTTTTCAAAAGGGGCTCGGCCGTTCCTTCGGCTTGCATGCGTTATGTATGTTTTTTTTTTAAGTATCGTTCCTATGCGTGACTCATTGGAAACAATGGGCTTCGTTCAACGCTGTGACTGTACTCGTTCGACGCTGCTGCGGCACTTGCCTGCCCCCCGCCTCGCCTCCCTCCCCTCCCCGGCCCTCCTTCCCCCCAGTCGGCAGCGGTGGTGGCTCTGCTGCTGCTGCTTGAGGGACGTCTCCAGGAGCAGTTCACACGTGGTCCGATCGCGCCCCAGCCAGCCAGGCCTGCCTGGGTGCTCGAACTTCCTTCAGGGATGTGGCCCTTCAGTGCGACGGGAGCAGCACGGCCCGAGGGGCGAGCGAAAGCAGCCGCGTTCCGCGCCTCGCTCGCGTCCCAGCCAGCCAGGCCTGCCTGGGTGCTCGAACTTCCCTCTGGGATGTGGCCCTTCAGTGCGACGGGAGCAGCACGGCCCGAGGGGCGAGCGACAGCGGCCGCGCCCCGCGGCCCGCGGTTGGAGGGGCGGCCTTTTTCTCCGCGGCGGCAGCGCGGGGAAAGCGCAAGGCCTCGGCGCACCGCGGGGCCTGCGCGAACTTAATGCTGGGCGCCGGGTGGGATAGATCGAGGGGTGTGGCGACTAATCTTCCGACGGAGCCTGCCCATCCCCCCCCACTCCTCCACGTTCTCCTCCTCCTCCTCCTCCTCCTCCTCCTCCTCCTCCTCCTCCTCCTCCTCCTCCTCCTCCTCCAACCCCCGTCCATCCGTTCCGACAGCACGTGCCCAATCCCCCCCCCAGCGGATCCAGGGGGGGGGCGATGATTGCCGCATCCAGAGTAGGTGACCTAGGACTTAGGACGGGGAACCCCAGACCTAGGACCTAGGACGGGGGACCTAGGACCTAGGACGGGGGACCCCAGGACGGGGGACCTGTGCCCAAAGGCAGTCGTCCACGCTCCAGGCAGCCCTGATGACAGCATCCCTGGGGATTCTACAAAGAGCAGCTTGAATGTGCCTGGAGTTTCTTACGAAGCCGCAGCGCGCCCCCTCGAGATTGCGTTGTCATCCGGGAGTCCACGAAGCGTGTAGGGACTCAAGAGGCTTGGGGATTGGGGGATGTATGGAGGCAGGGAATGCTGGCAAGGTGGAAGGCGGGGCGGAGTGACGGAGAGCACGAACGAGAAGACTGCCCCGCACCGTTGGGGATTACGGCACACGACAGAGGCATAGGTACGGGGAGGCGCAGATGAGGGGGGGGCTATCAGAATGACTCATCATTAGTGGCGTTCCTGTCTAAGTGCTTGCGGCAGCTTCCGCACCTGTGCCTGCGCAGCACCATTGTTGGCGACCCTTGTCGCTGCCCAGCGGAGAGAAGGCCATGACATGCGAAGCTCTGGAGGGAAACACAAACACACAGACATAATTAATCGTCGACTTCCAGGAGAATGCAGGAACATATGGGAACGGGGATGGAAGACGAAAACTCAGAGCAGATTCAAAAAGATTGAGAATCTTGGGATTCGTGTCTAGGTAGTTGTCTGCCCCTGGGCCCCTTTAGATTGATTCCCGTATTCCCCAGAGGGCTGAAGCATGCGACGGCTGGGCTGGACCTACACGGTGTTTTTAGTGATTTCGTGGGCCGTTTTCGCCTCGACTTCGTCTTGCGGTGCAGGCGGATTCGAGAGAAAAGCGAGGGACAACGAAAACAAAACGAAGACGACAGAGCACCGCTCAGGTTCAGCCTCGTGCGACAGCGGGGGGCCTGCGCCGCCCAGGGGCTTGCTGCGTGGCCTCCCGGGAACTCGCTCCTGACTTAGGCCTTGCTGGCCATGCAGGATATGGGGGGGCCGTTTGGCAGCACGGCCGTGGAGCGGGCCTGGGGCACGTCCAGCAGGCGTCTTGGGGCCGCCCAGCAGGCGTCTTCTAGGAGAACGAAGAATGACTGACATAAACCTCGGAGGTCCGCGCGGATTTCTCGGATCCGCGCTGGGCTCCCCTGGCGGCGCCTCCGGCGCCGCCCCTGGCGCGCTCCGGGTCCAGCGCCGATCCGAGAAATCCGCGCGGACCTCCGAGTTTTATGTTATGTCATTCTTCGTTCCCCTATCTTCCCAGACATCCGGCTGCTCCAACTTTTGCGATGCTGGGCCCCGGAGGTCCGGACCACTTCCCCAGGACCAGCTTTTCGTCCCGAGTCGCTTTTTGACGCTCCCGAGGCCCGGCGAGGGCCCCTGAAGGTCGAAACTTGCCAAAATCCCGCCGCTCCCGGTTTTCTTGGAGCGTCGGCTCTCAGGGCTGAGGCCGCCCGTGCGCCTCTCGTGGGCCGCCCCGTGGGCCCTCGCGGGGCGGCGCGGGGCCGTCTTTTGGGGGACGTTTCTGCGTCGCCCGAGGGCCTGGCCGTAAGTCGGGCCTGCCCCTCTACGGGGAATATTCAAAAATAGTTAAAAAATAGTCGGGGGACTATTTTTTTGAGTGTTTCTTGACCATTTGGGAGTATTGTTTGATTTATATTTTTCGTTGAAGATCCCCCTGTAGGGAGACACGCCCGACTTATGCCTGGCCTGCCGCAGCCTGCTCGGGGGCGGCCGAAACAAGAGAGGGTCACGGCCCCTTCGAGGAGCCGTGGGCGTTTCTTTCCGGGTATGAAGAATGACATAAACATAAAAAACTCGGAGGTCCACGTGGATTTTTCAAATCGGCCCTGGAACCCCTTCTCTGGCGCGCGGAGTGCGCCAGGGGCGGCGCCGGAGGCGCCGCCAGGGGGTCCAGCGCGGATCCGACCGAGAAATCCGCGGGGACCTCCGAGTTTTCATGTTTATGTAATTTTTCGTTCCCCTAGTCTTATGGGCCGCGTGCTGGTATTTTCGGATTTCCAGATTCCAATCTGCTTCAAGCGCCTTCCTACGTCAACGATCGAGTGCCTTCACCTTTTCCGTCCTCCCAAGGGGGCGGACGGAACCCAAGCCATGTCCAACGCCTTCCTACTTCATGCTTCTACCTGCTTCTTCCGACCGATGGGTATCCTTTCAGCAGTGTGGGACACACTGGTGGGCCCGACCCAGACATGAGCGCGTCGTCAACAAAAATCAGGACGGTCGGTTTTTGGCCCATTTCGGTCCCTGGGGCGCCCTCGCCGGGCTCCGGGGCCGTCCACAAACACTTCAGTATGAAAAACGGGTCACGAGGACAGGGTCGGGATTTCCAGGGGCCCCGTATGGAAAAAATCAGGGCGTCGCCTGTTTGGGGATTGCTTTTGGTGAGGAAAATCCGGGAGACCTCGCGCGGCGCGTAATAGTAGTATGATACAGCCCACTTGTAAGTTCCATAAGCTATGGGTCGACGCTCGCGCGGCGATACTCCAGAGTCAGTCCGACGTAAATCCGACAGAAATCCGACGTAGTCCGACGTGAACCCGACTCGAATCCGACGTGGATCCTACGTAAATCGGGTCTCAAATTGCCCCGCTGGTGGTCCCGATGGCCTTCTCGGTCCGTCTCAGAAGCCACACTGCAGCTTCGTGGGGGGGGTGCGCTTCGATGGCGCCGTTGCGCCCGGGGAGAGCTCCCGGGGGTGGATGGGATCACCCGCCCGGACGCGAGCAGGGTGCGCTTTGGCCTGAAAGTGTTGAAACCCAGCTACACAGCCCCAGCGTTTTTTTTTACTGTTCGCCGACGTTCCAAGGGGCATGGTGGCGGATTGGATCTCGGAGTCTTCCTCTGATGTGGTTCAGCGGCTTGCTTCCACCCCCGCACAGCAGAGGACAGGGAAGGGGGGAGGAGGAGGAGGAGGAGGAGGAGGAGGATCAGGATCAGGATCAGGAGGAGGAGGAGGAGGAGGAGGCTGAGACACCCACGCAATCAAGTGGAGACCCCAACGCAGAAGGGCGGAGGGAAGACAGAGGACTGGAGAAGCACAGAGTTCAGATCCACAGGGATTTGTCAGGTTCGGTGGAGAGGTCTTGGGGAAGGGAGGAAACGCGCCCTCGCCTTCAGGCGGGCGGACACGTCCCCAGGAGATCAGCAGACGCGCCCGCGCCTGCCTGGGCGGAGAAACGAGAGGAAGTCAGACGAGGGGACAAGACGCGCGGTAGGCTGTACTCAATGCGATGTCGCGTCGATCAAGTATGGTGGCGCCTCTGGCGAGAGCATGACTCACTGGGGTCTGGGGTCCCTCCAGGCGTGCGCTTGGCGCGGCTCCATCCATGTAGTTCAGGTTCGAGTGATGCTCCGCTTGGCCACATTTGGGAGATGTGTTTTCAAATGCTGTGAAGACGTTGCACGCAGCGCTCCCCAAGGATGCGGACTCGTACTACGTCCAGGACTGCAGACAGGCAGGCTGCGTGCGTTGTCTCTGCCCCTTCCATCCCAGTCTGCTTGGTCACGCGCATTTCCTCCACTGAAGCATGCACCTGCCTTCACTCCACGGCCCAGCGATTTGCGCCAATGTATATTGGCCATCCATATCTAGAGAAAGGGATTGAGGACAATTGGAGTGTGGATGTCGGCCAGTATCGCACGGTTTGCGCTATCAGTAATCCGCGACCGTTCAAGTTTGAACGATCCACGCGGTGACGAACACCAACGTGGAGGTCGTCACGACACGAAGTTGCCGTACTTCTGGATTATTGCGCTCCCGAGCCAGCTGTTATCCAGACAGCATTTCTCTCTGGGCAGGCGTTGGCACAAGGCGTAGTTCGGCCTTGAGATATCCACGCGTTCCCAATCTGGTCTAGTTGGTATGGCCCCGTACGTACCGAATTTCAGTTGCCGGGTGTAGTCAGCCAGGGGCAACACATGGTGGATGTCAGCCAGGATCGTTCGGAAGAGAGAGAGAGAGAGAGAGAGTTGGTGGAGCGGCGGGAGATAGAGCAGGAGAAGAGTGCGGAGAATAACAGGGGGGAAGAGCAGGAGGAGGCGACGGGGGAGAAGGAGGAGGGAGAGGAGGGGACGGGGAGAGGGAGGGAGGAGGCGGAAGAGAGGAGGAGGAGAGGGGAGGAGGAGGAGGAGAGGAGAGGAGGAGGAGGAGGAGGAGGAAGGAGGAGGAAGCAGGAGGAGGAGGAGGAGGAGAAGGAGGAGGAGGAGGAGGAGGAGGAGGAGGGGGGGGAGGAGAAGGAGGAGGAGGAGGGGGGGAGGAGTTTAAGCAGGAGCAGGGGTCCAGAGCGCACGTGTGGCGATCGGGTGCGCACGCCGGGCTGACAGCGGGCCTTGCCCGCGCGGCGGCCGCCAGGTTCAGAACAACACGCACACGGTTCAGACGTTGACGGGCCAGATCTCCCGGCTGGTGGGTGCACTGGACGCAGAGAAGGATCAAGAGAGAGAGAGAGGTGGCGCGTTGATATCCGACCCTCGCCGTTCCCTCCCCTCCACTCCCTCTCCTCCCCATGCGTCCTTCCGCCTTTGCCCACTCCCTGCCCGACAGGGTCCCTGCATCCTCGCCGACCATCCTCGTGATTGGCTTCGGCCGTAGCCAGGGGACGCTGCTGAATCATTCGGGGGGCTCTTCTGCTCTCCCCGAGGCCCCCCCCACACCCTGCACTCCCCGAGGCCCCCCCCCACACCCTTTCATGCCCCAGGTCTGCCACTTGACGTGTGCCGCCCACGGCGGGCATGCGCTCGAGGCCGACCGCCCACCCCAGCGAGCCCCCGCCGCCGCCACGCGGGCCTTCCCGCGGCGGTGGCGGACGAGATGCTCGCAGAGCGCCCCCGCGCGTCCACGGGGGGTGGGGGGAAGCAGCGGCCAGGGCCCCTGCCAGAGAACACCTCGGGAATCCGCGGCCGGGCCTCCTTCCTGCCGAGAGATGCGGGGGGGGGGGGAGGTGGAGGCGGATCGGAGGTGGGCAGGACCCCCACCCTGACACGTCAATCGGTGAATTGTCCGCTGTCGCTTCTCGAGAGGGCGCCACGGCCGTCCTTCTTCAGGCTTGCGCCCGTCAGGTTTGGGCCCGATGTCGTTTTCACTAAACTGACATCGGGCCTGTCCCTATACAGGAGGAATATTCAAGAATAGGCAAAAGATAGTCCGGGCACGATTTGTTTTAGTACATTTGGTCATGTTTTGGATATGCTTGCGTATGTGCACTGTTTCGTCCAAAATCCTCCTGCAGGGGGACAGGCCCGACCTAACACTAAACCGCGTTTTGCTAGAGGGGGCCCTGCCCGTCCACGAGCGGAGGAGAGCGGGGGCGAGCGGCTCGAGGCCGCGCCGTTCGCGACACTGCGCGCCCCGGCCGGGGATGACATGCTCACCGCCCACCGCACCACCCCAACCCAGCCCGAGGGCCCTGATGTGCCCTCCATTTCCAGCGGGGGGGGGGTCGCTGAGCATTGGACAAGAACACATATGAAGCCCGTGCCCCCCCAGCCCGAAATTCGGGCAAGATTCGGGTCTTCGGGTCGGGCCGGAATGGTCTGGCAGGTAGCCAACTGCGCGTCCCAGCCTTGATGCACCCCACGGTGCTGCGAGACGTCGCGCGGTGCTCCGCGCGGTGCAGCGGTGGCGGACGGCAGCAGGTCGTTCGGAAGGGGCTTTAGGCCATTCCGCCTCCCGGGATGGCAGCGCACCAGGAATCACGAGCTCCAGAGATGCGTCCCGAACCGCAGCATCTCGAACGCAGAGAGAGAGAGAGAGAGAGAGAGAAAAAAAAAACAGAAAATATGAATGAAAGAGAGAGAGAGTTAGAGAGAGCGAGAGCGAGAGAGAGAGAGAAGGAGAGGGGGAGAGAGTGAGAGAGACGTATAACAACGTACCCACGGCAGCCGCAGGACGCTGTTGTCGCTCACGGCTCCTCGGCGCCCCCCCCCCCCCAAAATGGGGGTCGAGGGGCCGATGCCCGGCGGCGAACCAGGGGGGTGGTAAGAAGGAGAAGGCCTTCTCAGAAGGCGGCGGGGCTTCTCAGAAGCCCTCGCGCCTCCTGAGAAGTTGTCTCTGCGTCTTCGGGGAGGGCTCAGAAAACCTCTCAGAAGGCGCCGGGGCACTTCCGAGCCTCCTGAGGAGGCCCGCCCCTTCTCGCCTTCACCCCCCCCGGCGCGCCGCCCAGAGGCCCCGAGATCCGACGTTGCCAATATAATGCAACATCGCATCAACATCTGGTATAATGCAACATCGCATCAACATCTCGACCAGAACCCTGGACCCCATCTTCTGCGTCATTTTTCGCGCTTGATCGATCCGTGAAGGTCCCAGGGCCCGCAATGGAGGGAACATGCCCGCTGTGAAAAAGTTGCAACGCCAGGATCTCAGGGCGTCGTGCTTGCACATCCGGCGGAGGACCGGCGGCACTGCCGCCACGTAGTGGACGAGGCGGTGGGCTCGGTGGTCGAGACTAGGGAACGAAAAATGGCATAAACATATCAACTCCGAGTTCCGCGCGGATCTCTTGGATCCGCGCTGGACCCCCCCTCCCTGGCGCGCGGAGCGCGCCAGGGGCGGTGCCGGAGGCGCCACCAGGGGGGCCCAGCGCGGATCCAAGAAATCCGCGCGGACCTCCGAGTTTTTATGTTTACAGTGGAGGCCCATGCGAAGAAACACCCTGCTTGCCTCCAGGGTGCCCCGGGTTTCTTGGGTTCCGCCCGTTTTGCCATGGACCGCGGCGCTCCCGCACCAAAGATCGATGGACGTCCTGGGGTCTCAGGGTTGGGTGTCGTGTGGAAAGTTTCCTTGTGGACTGGCCTCCACTGTGCACACAAGAGCAGGCGGCTGCGCGGCTGCGGCTGCGCGGCTGCGGCTGCGGGGCTGCGGCTGCGCGGCTGCATGCGGCTGCGCAGCCCTTCGCCGGAATGACGACCTTTGGTGTGCGGCCTCCCGGGGAGCGCCCGCGGGGGGGGCGGGGGGCAAGCCAAGGCACGCGGGCCGCCACGGCCACACCGCACGCCGCGATGGGCAGGCCGCGCGCCACAGGCCACCCTCGCCGAGGGCCCCTCCTCCTCCTCCTCCTCCTCCTCCTCCTCCTCCTCCTCCTCCTCCCTCCTCCGCCTCCTCCTCCTCCTCCTCCTCCACCTCCTCCTCCGCCCCCCTCCTCCTCTCCCGCCCCCCCTCCTCCCTCCCCCTCCTCCTCCTCCACCTCCTCCTCCTCTCCTCGTCCTCCTCCTCCTCCTCCACTCCCTTCTCCTCCTCCTCCTCCACCTCCTCCTCCTCCTCCTCCCTCCTCCTTCTCCTCCCTTCTCCTCCTCCTCCTCCTTCTCCTCCCTCCTCCTCCTCCCCCTCCTAGCCGTTTCGGCTCGAGCTGATTGTGTGAAAAGCTCGAGCTTGTGCCCACGTACTTCGAAGCGGCTCGTGGGCACGAGCCTTCCATTCTTCACGAAGGAGTCAAGCGTCTGCGGAGGCGGCGCATGGTTTCCCAGCCCGATGTGCTGCCAGGCGCTCGCACCCCCTACTGGGGGTGCTCCTGCGGCTGCTGGAACAACTGGGCGAATCGAGTCAAGTGCAGGAGCTGCGGGGCATCGGCACCTGCGAAGGTGGTCCAGGCGGCGCGCAGGGCTGCCGCGGCTGCCAAGAGCCCTTCGGTCTCGGTCAAGCCACGTGCTCAGGGCGCCTGGGTCGACGGGCCGCCTGGAGGGGCAGTCGCGGCCGAGCAGGCGAGGCTCATCCAGGAGTTGCGTGTCAAAGTGGCGGAGCTCAGCGGCAAGCCAGCGCCGCCAGCGCCCCCTTGGCACCAGCAGCCTGCGGGCACCAAGGCGAAGGGCAGTGGCAAGGGGCAGGGCCCAGCTGGAGGCGGTCCGCCGAAGGCCAAGGGCGAGGCGCCAGCGCCTGCTGCGGGGCTCTCCCACGAGCTGGTGGCGGAGTTCCTCAAGAGTGAGGGCCTGGAGGACGCCCATGCTGCGGTCTTGGCGGCCGCGCAGACCAAGGCTGCGGCGCCGCCCAAGCCGCCCACCACCATGTCTGCCTGGTGGAAGGTGGAGAACCTCAAGAAGAAGATCCAGAAGGCAGAGGCCCGCTGCGTCGACATCAACGAGCAGAGGGCAGCCCTCGATGAGGAGCTGGACGGCATCCAGAAGGGGATCGACCAGGCCAAGGCGGACCTCGTCGCAGCCCGTGGCGTGCTGGCGAAGCTCCAGGCAGGAGAGCACGATAACCCTCTCAAGGTGCTCACGGCCGGGCTGGAGCCTGCGGTGCTGTCAACGCAGGAAGGCAAGGACGCCCTTGCTGTCCTTGAAGGGCTCCAGCGCAAGGCGGCTGCGGACGCGAAGGCAGCCAAGCAGGCGGCAGAGGCTGAGGACGTTCGCCCAGGCCCTCCTGGCGATCCTGATGCTGATGCTGGTGGTCAGGCAGAGGATGCCCCTGATGATGGAGGTGAGCACCAGGCCGTTCCCATGGACGAGACCGACTTCCTGGAGGCTGACTTCCAGGAGTCCCTCAAGCGAGCCATGGACGGCGAGGGGGACACGTCTGCAGCCGTGGCCAAGCTGCTCGCCGAGCACACGGCCAAGAAGGCGCGGCGAGGGTGACGGCCGAGTGCGTGCTGATGCTGACCCAGTGGCGTCTAGTGCTCCCGAGCCAGCGGCGAGGGCGAGCCTCGGCATGGCCGACCTCGACGCTTTCGCAAGGGGCAACATGATCGACTTCGACTGGGAGCAGGCGACGGGCTTCGCAGTCCCAGTGTTGAGGGACGACCTCGTCTTCGACACGGAGCTGTTCCGCCAGTTCGATGGGGTCGGTCTGGACCCACGGCAGTGGCCTCGCCTGGGCCACGAAGCTTCGGACAGAGACGGACGGTCTCGCGAAGCTGCCCCCCCTCGGGTCGAGGACCCTCGAAGAGGGTCAGGGCCAGGGACATCGCCTTCTGGGTCGACCTCGATCCCGACGGCATCACTTTCTCCTATGTCGCGCGAGGCGGGACCCCTCGGTCGCAACGGGGCTGGGGGCCTTCCCCGCGAGTCCACATCTCCTACGGGTACCACCTCGGGGTCGGCGGCTCCCTCGTCTTCGGGCACCGCGTCGGGAGGAAGTACCAGGACGGTTGGAGGCGCTCCTACTGTGCGGAAAGGCCCGCACCACCTCTCCTCCCCACCTGTTCATGGACATGGTGAGTTGCAGGCTTGCGTCGCATCTGGAAGTGATGGGCTTTGTGTTCTCGGTGGAGGCCTGGGCGATTTCATGGAAGGATGTGGCGGTCTGCCTCCACCTGCGGCAGGGGCAGCTGAGTGTCAAGCTAGCCCTGACGGTGCCCAAGGAGACTCACCCTCTGAGCGGAAAGGGCTACACCATCTCTCGTCCCCACCTGGCGATGGACGTGGAAAAGGGAAAACTAGGTCAGGACGGCGCGGCTCGTGGAGTCGGCCACTCGGTCACGATCGTCAGCGATCTGATCATTTTTGGTGTGAACGCGAACACGTGGGACTCGTTCACCAATGTGGTTGACTGGTGTAGGGACCAAGAAGCGAACTTCTTCGGCGTGGAGTCGGCCTCAGGCGAACCAGTCAGGCCGCATGTGATCTGTGTACAAGAGACTCGGCTGAAGGAGAAGGGTAAGTTGGACTCCGCCTATGGCTGGGGTGATCGCCGCTCCTTCGCGTTTTCTCTAGGACCAGCAGCGTCCACAGGGCCAGGTCCGACGCAGTCCTCGGCAGGAGTAGGCTTGGCAGTGGCCAGCTCTCTGGCGTCTTCTAGTGCGCCATGGCCACCCGAGTTGGAACCCTTCAAGTCGCGAGCGGCAAGCAGGCACATCAACGTAGGACTTCCAGGCGGGTTGATGGTTTGCTCGGTCTACCTCTACACCAGCATTGGCGTAACAGGGGACAATGTTGAGTTATTGAACACTCTCGGAGAGTACATCAAGTCCCTCACCTGCCTCTGGATTGTGCAAGGTGACTGGAACCTCACTCCTGAAGAGCTTGAAGCATCGGAATGGGTGTCCAAGGTTGGGGGATGTATGTTTACGACGGGCCACGCTACGTGTCGAGCAGGGCCCGCTCCAGTAACCAGTTCGGGGCCAGAGGAGGAGGTCGACAGGAAGGATGAGCGGGAGATCGATTTCTTCGTGGGGTCCAGGTGTTTAGGGCACTGCGTCAAGGAGGTCCTGGCGTTCCCTGCAGCCCCCTCGTGGCCTCATATGCCTGTGGGTATCGTCGTCAAGAACCTGGCCCCGTCGACGGTCGTCCCGAAGCAGGTTAGATATATGCAGTTCCCCCTGGACAAGCTCGTGGGTCCTCGGAGGCCCCCTACGGAAAGCACGTGGTCTTGGGAAGTCGGAGGTGGCTCGCACTGCTTGGGGTCCATGGTCAGGGAATGGTTTACCCAGGCTGAGGGCTGGCTCATGCAGTTCCACGACCTAGACAGTGCTAGCGTTGCCAGGATGTGTGGAAGAGCTGGGGGCCCAACGGTCATAAATATTCCCCTTCGAGACGGTTTGGGACCGAGAGTCTAGGAGGAGATATTCAAAGCGGACCACCAGTTGGATGTCCTTCGAGGCGTTGGCTCGTCGTGCAGCTGCAGTTGGCCAAGATATGCTAGGAGCCAGAGCACGCGGTCTTTTTCACGAATGGTGTGCCGCCCTGTTCGGGATGATCTCGGCGCTGGAGGCGCCAGACGAAGGCACGAATGCCCGCTTTTTGATCAGCCTAGTAGAAGGGATATCCATGGGGCTCAGAGGAGTTAGAAGGGCTGTTCGGGCAGTTACGAGAGTATGTAGAAGGCCTGCGCAAGTCGGACGCCAAGGAGTCCCTGTCGGAGTGGAAGGAGTGGGCTAAGTCGTCAGTGCAGCGGGGAGGGAAGGCAGCTCATGCTTATTCCAGGGTCTCTCGCGCAGACAGGACGGTCCCGTTCAGTGTCGTTGACGACCACGGCCGCTTGCCAGTCAACGGTGAGCTTGCGCTCCTCCAGCTTCTCGATCAATGGCTTCCCCTTTGGCACAAAGAAGGCAGGCTCAGCAAAAATCACCCAGCTCATTGGGATGTGTTGGGACATGAATTGCCACCTATCTCTTTGGAGCAGTTGAGGCGTGTGTGTAACTCGTATGGGGAAGGGGCTGGTCTTGGGTGGGACTCCTTCCATCCCCGCCAGATCTTGTTTCTTCCAGAGGAGTATCAATTGCGTGTTATCGACATCCTTCAATTGTTCGAAGATCGACCGTGTGTGATTGCTGAGTTTTCGACGAATATCATCTTCCTTGACAAGCCAGATGGTGGAGTACGCCCGATAGGATTATTGTGCATGTTCACCAAGATTTGGTCGAAGTGCCGTCAAAACATCTGCCGTACCTGGGAACAGGCCCACGAGCAGGCCTTCTTCTGGGGCGTCGGGGCCACGTCAACCTGCGAGAGAGCAGGATGGGTCCACAACATGCTGGCCCACTTCGGGAAAGTCCTGGGGACCTCGGCGGCGACGGTGCTTCTGGACCTTAAGAAGTTCTATGAGCACATCGACCATATGGACTTGTATCGTGCGGCGTGCCAGCATGGTTTCAATTTGAAGCTCCTGCGAGGGCTGTGCGTGATTTATGCAGGGGATAGGATGCTGCACTATGGAGGGGCGGTATCTAGGAAGGTGCAAGGTAATGGGGCAGTGATTGCAGGGTGCTCAGCAGCTACCACGCTTACGAAGTTGCTTTTGTTATCGCCGCTCGCGGCCGCGCAGTCTGGCCGGCCACAGTTGTGCATCAGAAACCTGATTGACGACATCGCGCCGCAGATTGTTGGTCCGCAGCAGCTCATTGCACCGCAGCTCGCCGCAGGTGTGCAGTCCCTGTTGTCCAGTTTCTCGGAGCTCGAGCTCCCCGTCTCGGAAAAGTCGAAGTACATGACAAGCGACTCGGATTTGAATGAGGCCCTGCAGCCCCTGTGGGACCTCCCGAAGGAAAGCAAAGTGGATCATGCAAGGAACCTCGGCACCGACGCGGTGATGGGGCCCCTACGGAGGGTTCAGATCACTCGGGACAGGTGGGACAAGGCCAGAGGGAGGACGATTCAGATTAAGAAGCTCAGGGAGGCGGGGGCCAACACGGGGTTCATTCAACGTGGAGGCCCTACAGCGTCGGCTCTATGGGGGTCCAGCATCATGGGGATTCCCTCGACCCAACTGCATCGTCTTCGATTGGGAGCTGCTGGAAGTCTCGGGAAGGTCCCCAAGGGCTCCACGGTCGGGCTCCGTCTCCTGAGCTATGCAGAAGGGGTCCGAGTGGACCCGCTGCTGTTGAACATCGGGATGGTTGTGTTCCAATGGGCGACGGCGGTCTGGGAGTCGTTTCCGAAGCTTCCTGTCCTGGAACGGTGTCTGGAAGGAGCCCTGGGCCGTCTCGAAGGAGTCCAAACACCTTGGAGGCTAGCAGCAGCCCCAGCTGAAGTAGCCGTTCTCAGTCTTCGCAGAATAGGCTGGAGTTTGCGGTCAGGTGCGTGCATGGTCACGGATCGGCAGGAAGCACTAGACCTTCGAGTTTTACCTCCAGCGCTCGTTCAGGAGCTAGCAGTTGCAGGCGCCAGGCGAGCTTCTGATCGGCAAGCTCTTTTTTGTCGTGAGCCCAAAGCCAGGTGGAATATGCCGATATTTTGGGCAGGACTTGAGGGGCTCCTGCATCGGACCAAGGGATCCTGGACGAAGAGGTTTCAGAGGACGTTGAGATCCTTGGTTTCTGGAGGACACTGGCCACAAAGTCGGCTCCACCACCATGGACTTGTCGGCTCAGCGAGGTGTTGTGTATGTGGTGATCCTGAAGGGTCCTTGTGGCACAGGGCATACGAGTGCCCGAAGCATGCAGGGCTCAGGCGTGAATGGGTTGACGACTTCCACAGGACGAGGGCTCGCAGGGTCCGCGAATGGGGGTACGACGAGGGGGAGAGGTTTGCGAGAGGCCTGTTCCCGTCGCCAGAGTTGGTCTTCCCCGTCTTGACCGAGGCCCAAGAGACCATCTTGTGGCACAACAGACCTGAGTCAGAGCTCCTGAGTGGCACGCTGTTCCTAGACGGTTCGGCCTTATGGGCCTCGGCTCCGTTTTTGGCCCGAGCGGGCTGGGCCATCGTACAGGTTGATAGGTTTGGAAATGTAGTTTCGGCGGCCTACGGGCCCGTCCCATGCAGTGTGTGCCCTAAGCAGAGTTCTAGAGACGCGGAGGATTACGCCGTCTCGATGCTGCGTGTTTGTGCTTTGGCGCCCTCCGATGTCTTCATTGACTGCGCAGGCACTGTTGGGACTCTCCGTGGCGGCGCGGGCGCTGGATCCCAAAGCAGTTGTGGTCGGGCCCAGCTCTGGAGTCCGTTCTGGGGAGCGTTCTCAGAAGGGGACTTCCAAGTTTTTAAAACCAAGGCCCACTGCACCAGAGCCCAGGTAGATGCGGGTGCTACCACTGAGTGGGAGTACAGAGGGAACGCCCACGCCGACAGGTTTGCGAAGCTAGGTGCTGCGGAGCACGGCGTGGGTGAGGAGCAGTTTCAGTTGTGGCAAGGCTTTAAGTTTTTAGCCCAAGAATCCGCCCGATGGGCGGCTTGTGTGCACGTTGAGTCCGATGGCCAGGACCACGAAGATTTGATGGAAGCGTACTGGAGGTCTCGGGGCTCTACTGCCGAGGAAGACCCAGAGACCCCAGAGGACCCCGAGCCTGTGCCCCAGGCGTGCAGCAGTGGTGGGGAAGTGGGGTCGTCGTACGGGGTGGGCGACGGGTGGGAAGAGTATGCAGACGCCAGTTTTTGGTGGCAAGGCCACAACCTGCTGGAGGCAGATGTGCTCAGTCGCACCGCCCACGTTTCCTCGGTCGTCTTCTGCTGCCGCTGTGGCACCGTATCCTCGGACGGCAAGCTAACTTCGGGTCTCATGGGGTGGTGCCCCGAGAAGGCCAAAGCTGGAGGAGTGGACCAGCTGCGAAGGATCAAGAAAGGAGAATTCCCCTCTTACCGCGCCAATGTGCGCTCGTTGAAGGTCGGGAGGCCGCACGGAGTGCTGCCAGCGACCCGCTCGAGCCTAGCCGAGGCCGAGCTGAGCCTGCCCCCAGAGCCACAGCCCGCGGCCCCAAGCGTCGGGGCTAGTGGCGGATGGGGGCGGGCTGATCATGGGGGGCGGGCCGAGGTTCTGAGGGCGTTTGGGCTGTGGGAGGGGGAGCTCGAACTGGTCCGCGACCTCGGCCGCTCGGCCCTGCAGCGGAGCGCGGACAGCCCTGAGGAGGGCCACTCCGACGCCGAGCCATTCTGAATTGGGGCTTGACCCCGCGTTTAGCGCAAACCCTTGACCCCGCGTTTAGCGCAAACCATACCATACCTCCTACCATCCCTCCTCCTCCTCCTCCTCCTTCCTTCCTCCTCCTCCTCCTCCTCCTCCTCCTCCTCCTCCATCCTCCTCTCCCTCCTCCTCCTCCTCCTCCTCCTCCTCTCCCCTCCTCCTCCTCCTCCTCCTCCTCCCCCTCCTCCTCCTCCTCCTCTTCCTCCTTCGCCTTCTCCTCTCCTCCTCCTTCTGCTCACTTCCTGCTCCTCCTCCTCCTCCTCCTCCTCCTCCTTCCTCCCTCCTCCTCCTCCAACCCCCGTTCCCCCCTTCTTCTCCTCCTCCTCCTCCTCCGCCCCTCACCTCCTCCTCATCCTCCTCCTCCTCCTCCTCCTCCTCCTCCTTCCTCCTCCTCCTCCTCCTCCCTTTCCCTCCCTCCTCCTCCTCCTCCTCCTCCTCCTCCTCCTCCTCCCCTCCTCCTCCTCCTCCTTCCCTCCTCCTCCTCCTCCTCCTCCTCCCTCCTCCTCCTCCTCCTCCTCCTCATCTCCTCCTCCCTCCCCCTCCGTGGGCACGCCGGCCCGTCGCAACGGAAGGTCCCGCGGAGCGAGCCCCGCCAAGTGCGCAGCCTGGACATCCGGTTTTCAATGTCTGACTCTATGTCCTTGCCCCTCCTCCTCCTCCTCCCCTCCTCCTCCTCCTCCTCCTCCTTCTCCTCTCTCTACTCCTCCTCTTTCTCCTCCTCCTCCTCCTCCTCGCTCCTCCTACTCCTCCTCCTCCTCACCCCCCTCCTCCTCCTCCTCCTCCTCCTCCTCCTCCTCCTCCTCCTCCTCCTCCCCCTCCACTGCATGTCATTGTTCGTTCCCTTGGAGACACGGACGATCCTCGCCCGCATACGGGAGCACCAGAAGCAGGCGCAGAATCCCGCCGAGAGGCGCCGGGCCCCTCCCCGCGCGGACCTTCCTCCTCCTCCTCACTCCTCCTCCTCCTCCTCCTCCTCCTCCTCTTCCTTCTAGGGCGACTGTCCTCCTCCTCCTCCTCCTCCTCCTCCTCCTCCTCCCCCTTCACTGCATGTCATTGTTTGTTTCCCTGGAGACGCGGGCGATCCTCGCCCGCATGCGGAATCCCGCCGAGAGGCGCTGGGCCCCTCCCCGCGCGTCCCCTCCTCCTCCTCCTCCTTCTACTCCTCCTCCTCCTCCTGTCCCTCCTTCTTTTCCTCCTCCTCCTCCTCCTCATCCTCCTCCTCCTCCTCCTCCTCCTCCTCCGCATCCTTCCCCCTTCCCCTCCTCCATCTCTTGCTTCACAGTCGTCGTCGTGGTCGTCGTCGTCGTCGTCGTCGTCGTCGTCGTCGTCGTCGTCGTCGTCGTCGTCGTCGTCGTCGTACCGCAGCGGAGGCCCCCCAGTCGGGAAGGCGCCTGCGGTCCATCTAGGGGGGGCCCTTGGGTGGGACCATGACGAAGAATCGAGTTGGGGATCGGCTACGGATTCGATTCACCCCCAAAAGTCAGTTCCTCGTCGAGCCTCATGATTTTCCAAAATACTTCAACCTAGACCACCAGAAAGAATTGAGCACCAAGAAAATGCTGAAACTTGAATGTTTTCACGTGTCGGGCCCTGGGAGGCGACATTCGTTCGACACTGTTTCGATACTCTTCTGGGTGCTCTATTATCCCTGGGACGTCGTCCTTAAAAACGATGGGAGCAACATAAGTCCAGCCCATGGGACAAGATAGTCAGTAGTTCTACAGAGCATTCTACGTAGATGTTTCGTATGTTCGGCGAGAAATCTATGTTGGGGTAAATCGATTATGTAGCCGATACCCTGCTCGAGGGATCCATCCGTTCCGAGGCGTTCCGCGGCTTTTTTGGCCTCTGGGGGCCCTGACCGGGCCTCGGGACCATCAACAAAAAACAATTCAGGATGAGAAGCCGGTCCCGGGGAAGGGGCCGAGATTTCGGTGGGTCAACGGTGTGAAACAGTTGCGACGGACGGCGGGGGCCTGGGTAGGACGGGGATACATTTGGAGGGGACCTTCAGAGGGGGGACTTTGGGAGGGGGACTTTCGGAGGGGGGACTTTCGGAGGGGGGCATTTCGGCTTGGCATCGCTCGGACGTGTTCGTTTTTTTCTCGGCGAGGACCATCGAGAAACAATGGGATCGTCTTGCGAGAAAATACACGCACGAAATGAAAGAGCGTGTTCTACCGCTGCTGGCGGAACCGGGGGGGGGGTCACTACCGGTTCGAACCCCCCCCCCCCCCGTTCATCATGAAAAGGGGGGGGGGTCACTACCGGTTCGAACCCCCCCCCCCCTCTCGAAAACCGAGTGGGGGTGCGGACAGTGGTGGGGACGGTGTTGGTGGGGACAGTGGTGAGGGGACAGCGGGACAGTGGTGGGGACAGTGGGACAGTTGTAGTGGTGGGGACAGTGGTGGGGACAATGGTGGGAACAGGGGGGACAGTGGACAGTGGTGGGACGGTGGTGGTGGGGACAGTGGTGTGGGACATGGGAATGAGGTGGAAACAGGGGACAGTGGAGGGTACAATGGTGGTGGGGACAGTGGTGAAGGCGGTGGCGAGGACGGCGGTGGGACAATGGGACAGAGGTACAGTGGGGACAGTGGTGGGGACAGTGGGGACAGTGGTGGGAACAGTGGGACAGCTCAGTGGGACAGCGGAGGAGTCAGTGGGACAGTGGGGACAGTGGGGATAGGCAGTGGTTGGGTCCGTGGAGACAGTGGGGAGAGTGGAACCGTGGGGGAACAGTTGTGGGAACAGTGGGGACAGTGCGACAGTGGTGGGGGCACTGGTGGGGACAATAGGGACGGTGGTGGAACCAAGGTGGGGAACAGTGGGGGATGTGATGCGAGCGGTGGTAGGGACCGGGAGTCGTTTGCTGGCGGTGCGTGGGGGGGGGGTCGAACCGGAAGTGACAGGAGTAGCCCCCCCCCCCCCTTCCATCCAAAGCAGGATTCGAGGGGGAGGGGGGGGGAGCCCGGGGGGGGGGGAGTTTTGCCAGAGGGAAAGAAAATAAGGGGAGCCGGGCTCCGCAATTTTTGGGGTCGGGACTGGATTTGGAGGACGGACGGGGGGGGCGTCCCTCATTCATCCTCGTCGTCCTCATCTTCCTGTTCGACTCTTCGGCGCCGCCCTCTGGCGCGTTCTGCTCCGCGCGCCAGGCAGCGGGGTCCAGCGCGAAGTCCAAGAAATCCGCGCGGGAGCACCAAGAGGTTATCCCGTTTATGTCGGGGCTTTTTCAAAAAATATTCAAAAAATAGTCTATTGTTGGAATTTGGGGGTATTTTTTATCTTTCGCCGAAAATCCCCCTGTAGGGGGACAGGCCCGAATCGGACCTCTGCCCCGCGGTTCGCCGCAGGGTGCCCTCTCCGGGGGGGGGCCCCCTCGGAGGCCTCTCTGGGCCCCGAGGGGGGCCGTCCTCGGCGAGCCACGAGAGTGCCAAGGCCGTGCGGTGCCCCGGGAAGGCAGCTGGCGACGGGCTCGCCCAGCAACTCGGCAAAAGTCTCGGAGCAGGAGTTGCCCCCTCCCGCAAGAGGGGCCACTATGTCTGGAGTTAAGGTTTCTGGAGGGGCCACTTGGAGCACACGAATCGCCGCGATGCCACCCGGGGCGATGGGGAGCACCTGGGACCTGTGCAGTCGCGTCTGGTGATTACAGTGTCCGACTGGCCGCCCGCACCGTCTTTGGCTCCGGCACCCTTGTTTTGGCCATCGCCCAGGGGAAAAGGGAACGACGCGCGCCTTGAGTGGAGGGGGCGCCCTCCATCCACCGCGGTCCAGGGCCCTCTTCTATGAATGGTCTCCCCGGGTCGAACAGCCTCGGGTTTCCCTCGATGAGAGCAAGGTCAGTAATTAATTGCTTAGCAGCACCTCAGCAGGAGTCTTCCGTGAGGAGGCCAGGCCCTTGGAGATCCGTCCTGCCGCTCCCTGTGCTGAAATGTCTCTTTCTCGCCTTGATCACCCTCGACCCCCCCACCACACTTGTTCCTCCTCCGCAGCGTTAGTACACATCTGGTCGAGGCATGCGGAACGGGCAAATTCATATGCCTTCGAAGTTTGCCGACGCGTTCCATCTAGCCCTTAACCACACACAGACGAGCATACGAACACACACACACACAGACGCACGCACGCACACACCCACGCACGCACGCACGCACACGCACACACATATACACACAGACACACACACACACACCACACACACACACACACACGCACGCACGCACGCACACACACACACACACACACACACATGCGCGCGCGCACACATACGCAGATAAAACACACACACACACACACAAGCGTTCGCACATACGCACATACAATCACACGAGCACACCGAGATTCTGCCCTCTCGGCGGGACTACCCTCAACCCCGCCCGCACCTCCACGCCGCCCGCGCCTCCCATCCAGGAATAACCGCCGCATGATGTACCAGAAGCTCAGCGACAACCTCGGGATCACAGCACGCGTGCTGGAGGATGTCGACCTCCTCGGTGTGCTGTCTCATGGCGTCCCTGGCATCTTTCGCTTGCAGTCTCCCTGCAATGTGTTTGGCTGCAGAGAGCTGTTCAATTCTGGACCCCAGCTGGCACCTCAGAATGCACCTGTGCTGTCCAAAACCCGGATAGCACAGCGCCAGAGGCCTTCCAAGACCCCGTTGATGGAACTCTGGAAGCTTCGGGAAGGATCTTCTGGAAAGCTTTGGGTATACGTCTTGGGAAACAGTTGGAGAAGGCTTTTCGGGACACGCTGCAACCTCGAGCAGGTCGCGGCGAGGTTCCCTGCCAGAAGCTGGAACGAGCTTCAGGCTACCCTTGCCTGCCGGCTTCTAATGGGAAACCCTCTTAGCCCTCCCCCTTCCCATCCCTTGGTATGGACGGGGCTAGGATAGGACGAGGATGAATCTCTTCCAGAGCGGTTCGGAACGCTCTCAGAGCGCCTCGAAACGCTCTGACAGGGCCGCGGCGCCCGAGACATCCTCCAGAGCCGCCTCATCCTCAGAGGTTCTCGATTTGTATCCTCACCTGGTGTCGTCCTCGTCCTGGCTTCGTCTTACTATCCCTCCCCCTTGCGCCCTCCCCCTTCCCCTCCCCTCCCTCGGCGCGGACGACGGGGTCAGCCGAAGACCAGCCGAAGACCAGCCGAAGACCAGCCGAAGACCAGCCCGAGTCTGCCGAAGACCGAGTCTGCGCAGGGGAGCGAGCCGACTGGCCCCCAGAGCCTGCGGACAGACTCAGCAAGAGGCGAGCGCGCGCGCGCGAGGGGAGGGCGGAGGAGGAGCGAGGAGGAGGGAGGGAGTGTGGGAGGGATGAGGGAGGGCGGAGGAAGAGGGAGGGATGGAGGGAGGAAGGAGACAGGGCGGAGGAGGAAGGGAGGGAGGGCAGAGGGGGAGAGGGGAGGGAGGAGGGAGGGAGGAGGGAGGGAGGAGATGGAGGAGGAGGGAGGAGGGATGAGGGAGGCAGCAAACAGAGCGAGAGAAAGAGAGAGAGAGAGAGAGAGAGAGAGAGCAGGACACTCGGCGACGTGGCTTCAGATCTGGTCCGCGGGCCCCGCGTCTCGGCCCCGAGCGCCGCTTTTCTGCTGGGCGGCCGGGGCAGCAGACAGGGGCTGGCCAAGGGACGAAGACAGGGAGAGGATGAGGGCGGACAGGAGGAGGAGGAGGAGGAGGAGGAGGAGGAGGAGGAGCTAGAGGAGGAGATGCTGGAGGAGGAGGGAGGAGGAGGAGGAGGGAGGAGGAGGAGGAGTAGGCGGAGGAGGAGGAGGAGGAGGAGGGAGGGTCCGTAGCCATTTTGGCTCAGGGCGACTACGGACGGTGGCCAATGATCGCTCTGGAGGAAGTTCACCGCAGCATCGACGACGAATGAAGTCACAGAACTCTTCGTGGGCCCCCACAAGAACGCCGCCACGGCCACGAACGAAACCACGTGCAAGAACATTCGGAAGCCGCTGGGCAACTTCTACATCGACAAGCATCGTGGGGAGATCAGCACGAACTGGCGCCCACTCATCAAGGTCACCCCGCCCGCCAACTCTGAGGAGCCACGCTTGGAGTTTGCCGCCGCGAATTTTGCCACGGAGGGAATCGACCAGCAGGAGATTGCCCCGCTGGTCCTGCGCGCGGCGCAGGGAGCTGAGCCCACCGCGTGGAGTTCCTAGCAGCTCCTGTGCCCTGTGGCACGGATCTTTCTCTCCTCTTCCCTCGGCCTCCTCCGATGGCATCGTCACGTGGAATGCGAACGCCCATTCCATCATTCCGCCGCTCTCCGCGCTCGCAAAGACTCGTTTTCTCAGACGCCTGCTGCAGTGAGGTAGCATAGTAGCCTTGCAGGAGGCGCATGGAGCGGAGCCTGAGTTGAATGATCTCCTCCACCATATGCATATTCCCTTCCATGCCTCTTTTTCTTCTCATCCGAATTCCCTCGCTGGCGGCGCGGTCACTCTTGTATCCGATCCCCCACCCCTCCCAAGAAAGACGCGCGCGATTTGGCATTGAGCGGCCCCTTTATCTCTTCGACTCCCATCCTCCCAGGGCGAGCGCTTCCCATTAAGTTCAGTGCGCCGGGTGATGTGTGCTCTACCTCGCATTGCAACATCCACAATTTTGGCCTGCGCAACGGTGACCGTCGGACTCTCCTGGCTTCGATCAAGGATTCCCTGGACATCGCTTGGAACGACCCTGCCAACCACCTCGTGTTCATTTCTGGGGACTTCAACCTTCCCGCGTTCACTCCCATCCCGCCCAGCCCCGACCCGAACCTGGCGAACGAGGCAGTTGAACTTGAGCCTCGCTCTCTTCCTCGCGAATGGCGCTCTACTCTACAGCATGCGGTCGAGTATGAGTTGTCCATCCCCCACCCATTTCAATTCTGCCACTAAGCACCTTTCGTCCATTGACAGTTTACCTCGCTGCCTGGCTGGATTCTCTCCCAAGTCGCGTCGGGGGGTGAGGTGGTGGATCAGCCCGAACTCTTAGCAGCCGAGCGTATCTCTGATCACACCGCTGTGGTGGTGGTTCTTCGTGTTCGCGCTGAGGCGCCAGTACAGGAGCGCGCTGTGCCGCGAGACGTGCTTCAGAGGAACTCAAGCGATACATGCAGATGATGCTCGATGCTGCGGGGCACCTTTCGCTATCCCCTCCTCTCTGTCTTCAGCACTACAAGATGTTTATGCAAGAAAGAGCTAGACACGCTCGGAATTCGATTTTTCTTCGTCGTCCCCTCGTGCTCGCTATCTCGTGGTACGCAGCATGGCCCGTACAGCGTTTCGCCAGCAGTGGCAGTTCGCGCTGAAGTAGTTTTGCTTTCATTTTCTCTGCCGCGAACACTTCAAACCCGATGGTGATGCGATGAAGATCTCCCTCATCTCGCGGGCTGCCTTCACGCTACTGTCCGACTCGCTCCACAGTGAAGTTGCGCGCCGTGCCCGCGTCGATTTGCAGGCGAATGTTCGGCAGCTCACTGATCAATTCAAGATGGATCGCAGTCGCAAGCGGCAGAGACGGATCCAGAAGACGGCTTAGCCCTGGTCGCTTCTTGTTCGCCGAACCCCGCTCGCTGGCATCCGCGCGCCCGATCGTGGAATCGCGCAGACCCCCTCGCAGATTTGACAGCGCTGGCCACCCGCTGGGGCCCTGTGTTCACTGCGAAGCCATATGTTTTTTGGGCGGTGGAGCGTTTCCTGGACGCCTCCCCGACCAGTCTTAACTGTTCGGACCTTACTTCCCCGCTCTTTTGGCCACTTTAAGGACTGTGTGAAACGACTCCAACACAGCGCCCCCGGACCTGACAGGATCCTATATGCTTCTTGGCAGCGCGCTGCAGGAGGACTTGACCTCCTCTAGGACTGCACGCGCTGGCAGCTTGACGGGCGACGCACATTGCCCTGCTATAGCGAGGCTTTAGGAGGTTTCATCCCGAAAGGAGAGGAGGGGGAGGATTCGTCGGCTGGAGCGTTTCGCATGGTTTCGAACACCCGACCTCTCGGGCTTAAGAATTGTGGCGATGAAATCACCACGGCCATGGTGATTGAGGCCTTAACCAAGGCTCTTCCCACCGGCTTGGCGGAGCCCCAGCGGGGCTTCGCCCCCCCGTGAAATTTCGGGAACAATATCGTGGAGTTGGATGCCCTTGCCAGACAGACCAGTATGGACCGTGGAGTCCTCCGTCGTTCCCCTCCTCCTGTGAGCTCCTCCTTTGGCCTCGTCCTTTCCCTCCTGCGTCGGCGCTGGATGCTCCAGACTCCTCCGCATGCGAAGGCCCCCCCTTCCCCTGCCTCCTCCTCCTCCTCCTCCGACCTCCTCGTCCTCCTCCTCCTCGTCCTCCTTTGGGGGGGGGGAGATGCCGCCCTCTGCCGGGTCGAAGGGAGCAGGCGAGCTTGGTGCGCTCGAGTGGCATTTGACATCCTATCGGGGCCACCCTCTCCTGGCCGACGACTCACGCCGAGTAGACGCTGACGACGACGACGACGACCGATCGTCATGTCATATCGTCGCCGACGCCGACGTATTTCGAGTCGATGACGCCGACGCCGACGACGCGACGCCGACGCCGACGCCGACGCCGATGCCGACGCCGACGCCGACGACGACGCCGGCGACGATGCCGTCTCCTGCCGCGAAAAGGGCTCCCGGAGCAGATTATCGCGCGTCGCGCATCAAGGCCAGAGTTGGAGAGGCGCCCATCTCCAGGGCGGCGGCGCGGGGGCGCAGAGATGACCGCGCGTTGCGTAGCGCGGGTCGCGATGCGCGAAGGCAGGCGACCTGTAGCTATCCGCCGGAGGGATCCCGCAAGCTTCCGCAGGTCCGCTCCCGGCTCGCGCGCGGCAGCAGGCCGATGGGCGCGCCCGCGCGCCCATCGGTGGCGACGACGACGCCGACGCCGCCGACGACGACGACGCCGCCGACGCCGACGACGAGGACGACGAGGACGACGAGGACGACGACGACGACGACGACGACGACGCCGCCGACGCCGACGCCGACGACGACGGCTATGTCGTCGACGACGCCGACGACGCCGACGCCGATGACGCCGACGACGCCGACGCCGACGCCGACGCCGACGACGACGCCGACGCCGATGCCGACGACGACGACGAGGACGACGACGACCACGACGCCGACACCGACGCCCGCGCCGACCCCGACGCCGACGCCGACGCCGACGACGACGCCGACGACGATGACCACGCCGACGCCGACACCGACGCCGCTTCCGACGCCGACGACGACGACGATGCAAACGAGCGACGACGCCGCCGCCGCCGCCGGCGACGGCGCCGCCGACAAAGCGACGACACCAACGACGACGGACGCCTCCTTTAATGCCAGCGCGCAGGCCGACGATAAGCGGGGCTGTCCCCTACCACTCGCGGGAAGCCGTGAAAACTATCTGGGAACGATTTTGTGGTTGCTTCTTTTTTTTGATATTTCTGGAGTGTCTCTTTGAGTCGCGGCGCGGGGAGTCCAAAATCCGCCTGTAGGGGAGCAGGCCCGACCTAAACGATGACGCGTGCCCGC